GGCAACAAGCTCTTCTGGAATATCCAACGCGGCGCTATGATGCAACCGCAAATGCCCAGCGAGACGCTCTTCCATGGCGCGGTGCTCTAGGAAATTGAAGTCGCCCGCGTCCTCGTTCCACCGGAACCCGCGAAAAGCACAATGCAACAGCGGCAATTTCACACCATATCGCACATTGGTGTAGGGGCGCTCCAAAAGAGGATCTTCCAAATCCGGTGGCAAGAGGGGCTGCTCGCGAAGCTGGCTGGCGATGTGCTCTACGCGAGCTAATTCGCGGTCTTCCCACGTCAGCTCCATGCGCTACGGGACCAACGCTGCGTGTTCCATGTCAGAATTTGAGCTCACGTCGCTCACTGAAGCCGCGGAACAATCCTCCTGCTCCTCATCTTGACCGACAGCACCGTCCTCTCTGGACGCAACCGCAGGCCCGTGCTCCGAGCCCGCGCCCAATCTATCAGCGCCCTCTTCAATCGCGTCCTCGTTCCCCGACAACTCTGGCCAAGACCCGTCACTGGTTGTCGTCGACGAGCACCCCGCGTCGCTCACAGCGTCAGATTCCGTTCCCAATGCCACGCGGTGCCCCACCAACAACCATTCGGACTCCTTGCCCAAACGAGAGAAATGGTTCCCTCTGCCCGATTCACGGCCCTCCTCCAATTGCATGACAGCTTCGCTTGCAGACCCCGAGCGCGCGCGCGCAAACCGCTCGAAGCAAGCCCCCCCCCCCGCCCGCAAGAATATCCGCAGTGAGAACCCGAAGTACACAGCCGCGAATCTCATGTCCACAACGCTGAGATAGTAACGATCTTCCCCAAGGCAACCCCTGAAGGCTGTCTGCGCAACCCCCGGGGAAAATGATGTGCACGACCTCTGCCCGCCATCCAGAGCTGCGCATCCCGCTCGCCAAAGTTCGCCACCTCCCGTGAGAACGTTGCCGCTTTCGACATCGCCACGCTCATCCAAGTGCTCTGCCAAACGCTCAACGCACAGGAACATCTCGCCCCTGTGCGCGCCGCGCCCATTGAACTTCGCACTGAAGAAAAAAGCCTGCCGAAGGTTGTCGTAGAAAGGGCTCTGGTCGAAGAGAGCGCCGCACCTAGTCATCGACTCCTTCCCAGGCGCCAGCGCTGATAGTTGCAAGTCCCCAGGACACAGGTCGCACCAGTTCTCGAGAACGCCCGCGGAATCGCGCGCCAAAAGGTCCACGCTGGCATCCGGAAGGTAGCCCAACATAACAGCCAACGGCCTCACGACGCTCTCTTCCTGGTCATGGTTGGAAAAAGCGCCGAGCCCATGAGCGCAGATCCACCACAATGCGATCCGCATCAGCCTGCTGTTGGTTCCCTCGTACGGCATCGTCGACAGCGCGTTCGTAAATGTCGACGCGCGCATGTTCCCTCACCATCGAGCCCTCCGCGCTGCCATGGCCCTCGCTGTCGCCACCCCCCCAAAAGCTCAGACTCGCTGTGCGCCCGCATGGAGCCCCAGGGCTCCTGAAAACAAGTGCGCGCGGCATCCTGCGCGCCCGCCCGCCCCGCGGCCATCACCTCGCCCCAGGCCCCAGGCAACTGCTCGAGCAAACGAGCGCGCGCATCGGGGCAGTGCAAAGACCCCCCGGAGGACGGAGCCCCGAAGAGGCCGTGCAAACCGCATGCGCCGCCCCCCTCTGTCAGCGCCCCAAGCCAGGTCTCCCCCTCTGTCGAGTCGGGGAGCGGCGGAACAGAGAAAGCGCGGGCAAGTCTCTCGATATCTCCCACATTCTGCAACTGCAACGGGGCACAGTCGCAGCGAAAGCGGGAACCGCCGACATCTCCGAGTTGACGCGCCTGGCCTGTCTCATCGCTGGTCATGCTTTCGACGCGTTAAGAGAGGGCCTGCATGGGGCCCCCCGCGCTCGGATCCGCATGTTGAGCCGCGCGGCTGCGGACCGCAGGGGGCGACTGGCTCACGCCCCTCCCTGTCGCGACAAGCCTACGCCTTACTCCGCGCCCTTCCCTATGCCAACCATCATTCTAATTTACGTCCGACCCCTCGCTAGCCCGCAAGCCCGCCCTCGCCAACCAAGACGGGCGAGCCTGCCAGAGCAGCCTCGGCGTCTTGCCGGCGCAGCCGCAGAGACGCACTGGCAAGACCTCCGCAGCCTGCCGAGGACACCTCCGCAGTTTCCACGCGGAGCCGTCGCGGCTTGCCCCCGAAGCCTCCGCGGCCAGGTGGCGAAGCCTCCGCGGCCTACCGGCGAGACCTCCGCGGCATGGCGACGAAGCCTCCGCGGCCTGCCGCCAAAGCCCCCCACGGCTTCCTGGTGACGCCTACGGCTGGCCAGCGAGGCCTCCACGGCCTGCTGGCGAAGCCACCGAGGGGAGAATCCACCCCGCTCCCCATGTGCCACTGATCACCCTCGCTTACGCCCGACCCATTCGTAGACCCACCCCTGCGCGGCCAGCTTGCACGGGCCCTCCCTGCCGCGGCTGCCGCGGACCCGTGCTCCACATGCGACAGCGATTGCCCGCGCCCGTACCCGACAACTCACCGCCCCTAGAGCCCGTCCGCGCTAGCCCATACAAGCCGGACTGCAAGCGAGGCCTCCGCGGCCTGCCAGCATAACCCCCACGGCTTGTCGGCGAACCCTCCGCGGTGCCGACGCAGCCTCCGCGGCCAGGCAGCGACGCCCTCGCGGATTGCCAACAGGTCTGCGCGGCATGCCGGCAACGCCTCCGCGGCGCGCCAGCAAGCCACCAGGGAGAGGCTCAATGAAATGGCCACTCCCTGACGCGACTACCTACACCTGAATGCATACGAGCCCCTAGGAATGCCATTCCCCTGGCCTAGGCCCGGCCCCGCGCGATTCCTATGGGGCCGCCCTGGCCTGCTTACCTGGGGCGCTCTGCCGGCGCAGCCTCCGCGGCCTGCCGCCGACGCGTCCGGGGCCTGCTGGAGAGGCATCCGAACTCTGCCGCCGAAGCCCCCGCGGCCTGCCAGCAATGGTTCCTGCCCTGCTACCGAAGCCCCCCTGCATTGCAGGCGAGACCTCCGCGGCCTGCCGGCGGCTGCGAGGGCCTCAACTGAACCCCCCCTCCTTAGCGAGACCAAAACTGCTGTTTAATCCGAACCATCCCCCCTAGCGGCCATTACTCAAGCCTGCAGCTGGCCACTAGCTGGACCATGCAGATTGCTTCTAAGTTCTGCATATAATCAGTATGTAAACTAGTTCGCACGCGCGTGGCAGGCCCTGGGGGGCCCCGAACGACAGGCTCACGACGAAATCCGATCACAACCGACTCATGCGCCCGGCACCTCGGATGACCTGACGGCTCGTCCTCGCCCGCTTACCCAGAGCGCCCCGCCAGGGAGACCGTTGCGGCTTGCGGGGAAGCCTCAACGGCATCCCAGCGAAACCACAGCGGACTGTCGCGCGAGGCCTCCGCGACCTGCCAGCGACACGCCGCCAGCTGAACTGGATAGACTCTCCCAAGCCCACCAGCCCCGACCGTAACTCATACCATTTCTTCTGCTAATAATGACCCTAGAATACGGCCGACCCCGCGCTATTCCTGAAGCCCGCCCCCGCCAACCTCCACGGCCTCGCCTGCCAGCGAAGCATCCGCGGCCAGCCGGCGGAGCCTCGCGGCCTGCCGGCGAGACCTCCGCGGCCTGCCAGCGAAACCTGCGCGGCGGCCTCGTGGCGAGGCCTCCGTAGCCTGCCAGCGCGACCTTCGCGCCTTGCGAACGAGGGAGGCCGTCGCGACCTGCCTGCCAACCTAGTGGGCCTCAACTGGGAGGCCCCTCCCTAGCGCGACCAGCCAGGGCCTGAATCTGTAACATTCCCCATTCAGCCATGACTATTGCCCTCGCTTGCGCATGCGCCCTCGCAGCCCCGTTTATGGCCAACGCGGAAATGCCCGCGAATGAGACACCTGAAAACTCCACCGGGCCGCCTGGGGCCCTTTTGTGGACTCTTTCTACACCCTGGTAAACACCCGTCAAACGCTATTGGTGTTCTTTCCCATGCGTTCGGCCCGTTTCGGTTGACCTAGAGCAATGCTCGGCTATTTCGGGCGCCCTGACGTGGGTGGTGCGCAAGGATGCGGAAAATCCGACCTCCAGATCACTGATCCGTTGATAATGGCGGCGGACCGCAGACGAAAGAACAAAGTCACCATCGACGGGCCGCGCGGCATGCCTGAGCCCGATAAGCGATGGGATGAAACAAAGAAATAACCCACGAAAAGACAACAAACCGCACCTACGGGGTCTTGTGCTATTTTCCGTTCATGTTGATCCAAGCTTACAGCTGCCTCGCCTCATCCGGCGAGAGCAAGAATGGGCGGGCGGTGAACGCGAAGCGTCTTGAATAAGTGTTATGCGGGTGCTCGAGACAGAACGGGACCCGCAGACGAGAACGCAATCGGATCACACAAATGCAAATATCTAGACAGGCATTTCCAGAGGCGACTTTCTCGCGCTGATATTCAGGCAAGCCTGGGAGTCCTCTGGGAAAAGACTTGTTCCTCAGGGGCGCGTTCGCGTTTTGCACTACCGAGGAGGAGGTGCAAGGCGGGGCCATCGTGATCGCCAGCATTTCTCCTTTTCGCAGGGGGCGACGGATCTCCGCCTCCGCGCAGGGCCGCAGCAGGTCTCCCGGCGGACCAGCACGAATGTCCCACTCCCGCGAGCTGTAGCCTGCTTGCCTCGCAGCCGCCGCCACTCGCCCACTTCCGCTGAACAGCTCGGCGAGGAAAGGCGTCACGGCCGGAGCGCTGGCGTCGGCCATCGGCGCCCGCGCACGAGGCACTCCTCAAGCTGGCGCCCGCAGTCGAGGGCGCGGGCCTGCTGCGCGGGCGGCAACTCGCGCCTCGCGTCGCTCCGGCGACCAGCCTTCCTGCATTGCGCCACGCTCATGCCGGCTCTTCGCCTTCTCCATTCCATGCGCGCGTTTAGGCTGTGGCCCCGATGAGTCCTGTCGGTCGAGATCCCGCTGTGGCGGCCCGGGTCAGCCACAACTAGTATCCCAGAGCCGCCGTCGCCTGCGCGAACATCTGATAGAATGGACTGGGGCCCCATGGCACCGCCTTCTCGTCCTCTAGGCCCCGTGCCAGGCGGCACGTCACGGCGGCCAGCATGCCTCGCTCGAGCCAGGCGCGTCGGCCGACGCTGAACTCTGCCCTCATCCACTTCCCGATGCAATCTTCGACCTCGGCATCCTCTCCGAGGGGCGCGCCCTTTGGCCCGCTGCCGCGACCAGCTCGTCCACGTGCACCTGGCACCGCGTGCGGGCCGAAGCCCTCGCGCTGCGTGCCTCCAGGAAAAATTAATCTGGCGGCAGCACCTCCCACGCCGCGCGGCGCGCTCGCGCGGTCGCCCGGCGGGCGTCGGCGCGCGAGCCCGCCTGCCCTGGCAGCTCCTCCTCGACGCTGCTCTCGCTGTCGCCCCTGACGGCAGCGGCGGTCGCGTCCGCGGCCCTGGCATCCTTCGAGGAGGCGGCGGTGGCGCGACCCCGCGGCGTCGAGGTGGCCCGCCCCAGGCCCGCTGGCGGGGGCGCTCCGCCCGCAGCCGCGCGGCGGTCCAGCTCGCTGGGGGCTGCCCTGCTCGGCGTGCGCGCCCGTCGCGGGCACCTGCCCGACGCGCGGGGTCCGCTGGCGCCCGCCGCCCCCCTCGGCGCCGGCAGGGCATGCGTCGGCACCCGCGCCCGCGTCGGCCGGCCCCGCAGCGGCGCGCGGCGCCGCCGGGCCCCTCGCGGCGGGAGGGCCCGGGAGGGCTCCGCGCGAGAAGCGGCCGCAGGGGCATCCGACCAGGCGCTCGGGTCCAGGCAGCCAAGGGCCTTCTCATCTCTGTCGCGTCTCTTTTCCACCTGAGGCAGCAGGTGGGTCGCGCATTTCTCGGCCTCGTACTCTCTCGCAAACAATCTGCCCCCCTCGTCGCTGCTACTGAACTCCGACGGGATCCACCTGTAACTGAACCTGAGTCCGCGCCAGAAGGAACAGGCAGCCGCATGCAGAATCATCGCCAGCAGCTTGAAGTCCCTGGCTCGCGACCGTGAGAAAGCGAAGATCACCGACGTGTTATCCCCCAGCAGAAGGGCTCGGCCATCGTGGCCAGCGCCAGAACTAGCCACGCGCCCCGCGGCCTTGAGCACCGCGCGACCTTCGAGACGGGGGGCCCCCTCCTCAATGGCCCACCGAACCGCCAAGACCGTCCGCCAGCGCCCCGCGTGCAGCAGCTCCGCCGGCACCTCCTCGAAATCGGGGTCCTGGCTCCAGCGCGCCACCCCCGCGTCAGGGATCGCGGGCGTCGCCTCTCGGGCGCCGACGCCGCCGTCCGCCAGCAGCTCCAGGCCGGCAGCCTCGACTGCGCGCCGCCGCGCGGCGCCCGCGCCCAGACGCTAGCGGGCGCGCTCGCAGGCGCGACCTGCGCGCCCGACACTCCCCGGCCCCCGCAGCGAGTAGGCCGGCCCGAAGCCGTCGAGTGTCGCATCCGACAAGTAGACCCCAGGCAGCCAGCCGGCGCCCCAGTCCGCGCGCAGGTATATCATCAGCGCAGAGAAAGCCCGCAGCTCCTGCACCACGCTGTCCCACAGCGCAACTCGCTCGAAGCAATGGCGCTGAATGGATCGGTAGATGCAGTGGAAGCAGCTCAGGCTCTCGCGGCGCACCAGGCCCAGGAAAGCGCGGTGGCCCACGACGATCTCCAGCTCCAGGCCGCTCACCCTGCGGCGTCGCAGCAGCGCCTGCACCGCGCCTCGCACTCGCCAGAACCTGGCGGGGGTAGGCCTAGTGCAGCCTGTGCGCCCGCCCAGCTGCACGCCCAGGGCCTCGCCGCCTGCGCTGCTCGAGGAGGTCTCGTGCACCTCGAGGCCGACGGAGCCGAAGGACTCTGTGGCCGCCGTCAGGGCCGCGCGAACCTGGCTCTCCGCCTCCGCCGAACACCCCGATATTGTCAACGCAGGTGTAGTGGCCCAAGGCTCGCGGGCCGTCCAGGATCAGCGGGGGCCCACGGTCGGTCATCTCCAGCGCGCCCTCCAGCTCGAGCACCGTCGCCATGCGGCGCGCGTTGGCCGACGGGGCGAAGCGCAGCGACCGGGCCCGCCCCATCGGCAGCGCGCGCGCGCCAGGGGGTATATCAGCGTGTCCTTGCCAAGCGCCGCGCCGCCCAGCTGCGGCGGGCCCAGCTCGCAAGCCCGCGGCGGGGGGCGGCCGAAAAACTCCTGCAGCCCCGGCCTGTCGTCGAGCAGGAGCCAGTGGAAGCAATCCTTCACGTCGCTCGCGCCGAGCCAGGTGCCCAGTTCGCCCAGGGCGTCGTCCAGCTCCTCGCCTAGGTCGGCGCCGCCCGCCGTCAACCTCTCGACGCGGCCGAGACGATCGCCGCTGACAAGGCCCACCCCGGGCGGGCTTCTGAACGTGCGATTCGCCGGGCGGCAGTCTGGGATCGGCCGCTGGCGATCGCCCTTCTTCTTGACGAAAAAGACCCCACCTGGCAGCGGCGCGTAGTAGTCAGTCGCACCAGGCCCACTTTCCACCGCCGCCGACCAGGCCGATGTCGGCGGGGCGCCTGCGACTCAAAACTGGGCCCATGCAGGGTCGAACAGGGCCGCATATTGCATTCATTTCGCCCACCTCCCCAGGTGAACGCATCGCGTGGCTCCCGTGATCCTCCAACTGCATCCGCGCCGCCTTCGGCGGCAGGTCCGCGACGCGAGGCGCGCCGGCCAGATCATCGGGGACCGACAGCCGAGCGTGGGGGAACGGGGGTCAGCGTCGCATGGGCCAGCTGGGCGCATCCGCCTCGGCCCCGCATCAGCCGTGCAAGACATTGCCGCGGATCGTCGTCCGCGCAGGCGGTCGCGCCCCAGCTTGCAGCAAGGATGCGGCGAGGCTAGGCGGCGTCGCAGGGAGCCGCCGCCCAGCACCGTGCGACCAATTCAGGCTAGCCAGACCCTCGTTGGCCAACTGGCGCACGCGTGCGCGGTCACGGCGACCGAGCGGGGCTGCCAAGTCAGCGTCCAGCTCGCGCAGCCCAGGCAATGGGTGGACCTGCCCGCCGCGCATGGCCTCTGCGCCCAGGCCCGGGGGCGGCCTCGCCCCCAGCCCCGTGTCCATTATTTGGGCACGGCGGCAGCGGCTGCGTCGCTGGGCCTCGCCCTGCCTCGCCCACGCCCACGACCGCCGCCGCTGCCTCTGCCGCCGCCGCCCTGCGCGCCCGCGCGGGGGGCCCCCGGCCTCCAGCGCGCCGGCCACGTCGTCGCTGCCCCCAGCGACGCGCCCGCCCGCTGCCAGCGCGCGGCCGCGCCCGAGCGCCGCCAGGCGGTCTGCCTCGTCGCGGGCCGCGCGGTTCGCGAAGCGACGCCACGTCGAAGGGGTCGCTGGTGCCAGCGAGGAGGCGGCCCGCCCCCGAGGCAGCTGGCCGCCCAGGCGCGACCCGATGCGCCTCGGTGATCTGCGCCGCGCGCCGAGCCGCCACCTCCAGGCACGCCGGCCCACCGAGTTTCACCGCGTCGAAGGTCCCCGCCAGCCAGAAGATAGAGATCAAGCGGTTCAGCTCGTGCCACGTGCGATCTCGCTGGCTGATGCCGTACTCCTGGCAGAAGTTTGACATCCACGTCTCCGGATCTCCGCCGTGCTGCGTGAGACGTTGGCACAGGTGAAGCGCTGTGCCAGCCCAGCGAAGCTCGCAGCCGCCCAGGGCCCCCTCACAGCTCTCTCCTACAGCTCGCCGCCACACCTTGAATCTCGCCCCTTGCATGTTCCACTCCGCCGACAGCGTTCGGGCGTCCTCGCGACCGGCGGCCTCGCCGCCCTGCCGAGGAGTGTCAGCGCCTCCTATGGCGGTGGCCTCCGCGCGGGCCGGGCCATGTCGCGGAGGTCGCGGGGGACCTCGGCGGCGGGCGGCGATGCATCTGCCAGAGCCGCCCGCTAAGCTACCCGGCCAGCGTTGGCCAACGCCTCGGCGCGCCAGGCGGACACGTCGCCGAAGGAGACCCGCTCGCACAGCACGGGCCGCCCATCAAGGCGGCTGCCGATCACCTTCGACCCAGCCGCGACGTCGCCAGAGGTCGGTGCCACCTCATCGCCGAGCTGCAGACCGCCTCCCGCGTGCAGCCCTGCCACCAGCAGCATCGTCTCGGCGTCCTCCAGCGGGGGCGGGCCCAAGGCGAGGCGCGTCGCCTCCTCGTTTGCCTCTGAGCCGCCGCCGCGCGCCCTCGAGCACCCCAGTGTCCAGGCCGCGCTCGTCCCCGTGCCAATCCACCATCGCGCTCGGCTCCTCCCCAAGGTGGGCACCCAGCCCCGCGGGTAGGCGGCGCCTACGGCGCCCCTCGCGTGCAAGCCCACGGCCCTCCAACACCATCTGGCGGAGCACCTCGCGCGAAAGCGTCCCTTCGGAACCATGACGACGTCGCCGCGGAAGCCCTTTGGCCACCCGTGCAGCAGTGAGGCGTGCCAGCGCCCGTGCGCCTTTCGCTCCACATAGCGGTCACCGTCGGGCGTCTCCGCCACCCAGCACTCGTGACGCCGGTCCCGGTGGACAGGCCAGAGCAGGAGCCGCTCGTGCGTCCACTAAACGCCGTCGAACCTCGCCAGCAGGCGCGATCCTGGGCGTCGCTCCTCGCAGGTCGACATGTCCACGGGCGGCCACCGGCCGAGGGGTTGCCGAGGGAGCCGCGCTCCCGCGTCCAGCGGGATCACCAACAGCACCAGCGCCAGCCAGGGCGGCCACGCCAGGGGAGCCCCCTCCTGCGGCGCTGTCTTCCCGGCCCAGGCCTGCGACCCCGCCTCCAAGCCTGCCGGGCCGGGGCAGGGCAACGGCGGCGGTCAGCCCGGGCAGGCTGGACCGGTCGGAGAGCGGCAGTCGCGGCGCGACACGCGCGCCCGGCCCGAGAGCCCCTCGCGCCGCCTCCACCTCCGCCCCGCGCGCCAGCTCGCACAGCACGCCGGGCCCAGCCTCCGCCAGGGCCGCGCCGAGGGCCGCCACCACCATCCGGCAGCGGGCCCTCAGCGCGCTGAAGCTTGAGACCATAACAGTTGCGGAGAACGCAAAATTGGAAACGACAGGCCGAGACAATCGAAGCAATACCGTGGTCCCCACAAATACCCCTGAGCGACCTAAAACATGGAAAAAAACATTATCCCGGCAAAGCAACCTAACAGCGATGTGTAGAAGCATATCTGAAAGCATTCCCCTTAAGATTCAGATGAAAATCCAGTTGTAGAATTCTGCTGTTCTCGCAGTCGTAGTCGCATTCGCGATGACAGTCGCAGCGGCAACGGCAGTCGCAGTCACAGCCTCAACCTCAGCCTGCCTCAGCCTCAGCCTCAGCCTGCCTCAGCCTCAGCCTGCCTCAGCCTCAGCCTCAGCCTGCTTCAGCCTCAGCCTCAGTCTGCCTTCAGCCTCGGCCTCAGCCTCAGCCTGCCTCAGCCTCAGCCTGCATCAGCCTCAGCCTCAGCCTCAGCCTGCCTCAGCATCAGCCTGCTCAGCCTCAGCCTCAGCCTGCCTCAGCCTCAGCCTCAGTCTGCTTCAGCCTCAGCCTCAGTCTGCCTTCAGCCTCGGCCTCAGCCTCAGCCTGCCTCAGCCTCAGCCTGCCTCGGCCGCAGCATCAGCCTGCCTCAGCATTCAAAATGCGGCCCAGGAACGGAGTTCTGGGAACTAGAAGAACACGAAGTGGCCTACAGTTGGCTCCGGGCATTCAAAATGTGGCCCGGGAATGGAGTTCTGGGAACTTGAAGAGCACGAAGTGGCCTACAGTTGGCTCCGGGCATCCAAAATGTGGCCCGGGAATGGAGTTCTGGGAACTCGAAGAGCACGAAGTGGCCTACAGTTGGCTCCGGGCATCCAAAATGTGGCCCGGGAATGGAGTTCTGGGAAGTCGAAGAGCACGAAGTGGCCTACAGTTGGCTCCGGGCATTCAGAATGTGGCCCGGGAATGGAGTTCTGGGAGGTCGAAGAGCACGAAGTGTGTGACTGTTGGCTTAAAACGACTTCTGCGGCACCCTGTCCGGCACCCGCCCAGACCCCCCTGTGGAGTCATCTGCTGCTCTCTTTTGACACCACTAGAAACCTATCAGAACAAGCTGTTAGGTAACATGGTTCCAGCTCGAAACCACCATGTTAGATACCCCCTGGGTGGCCTGGACATGTGAAAACACGTGATTCCAGCTCGGAACAACCATGTTAGATACCCCCCTGCGTGGCCTGGATACGCTGAATTCGCGCTACCACTCGACACATCCTCGCAATGCCTTCCCTGGAGGGGCCCCCAAAGCGCCCCCCCCGGTCCAGAGCAAGACAACATCACTTTTCTGTATTGGAATATGTGTTCGGGTAGTGCTTTTCGGCCCCCCGTGCGTTTCCTGATAATTCGGCGTTGGGCCCGACGCCATGTTGGATATCCCCCCTGGGCGGCCTGGACACGTAAAAACACGTTGCTCCAGTTCGGGACAATCATGTTAGATACCCCCCTGGGCGGCCTGGACACGTAAAAACACTAGGTTACAGCACAGGGCCACCATGTTAGATACCTCCCAGGGTGGCCTGGACACTTGAAAACACGCGGTTCCAGCGCAGGACCACCATGTTAGATACCCCTCCTGGGCGGCCTGGACGAATAAAAACACGTGATTCCAATTCGGGACAACCATGTCAGATACTTCCCTGGGTGGCCTGGACACGCGAAAAAACGTGATTCCAGGAACAAAGTTTGAATTATACGGCATCCGCGCTCCCAAGGCTACGATCCCTCGTGAATTACGTGGTGCCGCGCTCCAACGGCCACGATCCCTGATAAATTACGCGGCACCCGGGCTCTTAAGGCTGCAATCCATCGGAATGTACGCGGGATCTGCGCTCCCAAAGCTGCGATCCCTGATAAATTATTCTGGATCTGCGCTCCCAAAGCCGCACACCATCGTAAATTACGCAGCCCCCGCACTTCCAGGGCCACGATCCCTTGTAGATTACCTGGATCCGCGCTCCCAGGGCCCCGAGCCCTTGTAAATTACGCAGGATTTGCGCTCCGAAAGCCGCGATCCCTCGTAAATGATCCTGGGTTTGCGCTCCCAGAACTTCCTGGGCATCCTGGAGCGCCCAGGCCCGTCACATTTTGCAAAACGAGCGGTTCGCTCGAGACATCGCCAGAAATTCTGCGCGCAGGACGCGCCATCCTCGAGCGGGCACGCAACAAAAACAACGTTTTCACATTTGTTGTGTCCTGGTCTGGGCTCCAGACCTGGGTTTTTCTGGACGATTCTGCGAATAATGCCCCGCACTCTTTTTTGCGAGGGAAAACGGGTGTCTGCAGACCCCATTATCTATCGAGGATCCGAGATGGGGGGCGCACTTTCCTCGAGCGGGCACGCGCAAAACGCATTTTTCCTACGCCGAATTTGACTTGACCTTGTTCCCAACCATCCTGCGGTGTTGGGTCCTCGTTTTGAAGAGACGGTCCCCGCGTTCTCCTCCTCTCGTGTCCCCCCCTCCTCCCTACCGTCCGCATGCGTCCCGCACACCTAGTACAGCGCTTCGTGGCCCCCGTAGGGTGCCCCACCGAAGGTCCCAGTGCTACCGTCCGCATGCGTCCCGCACACCCAGTACAGCGTTTCGTGGCCCCATGGGGAGCTCCACCGAGGGTCCCAGTGCTACCGTCCGCACACCCAGTACAGCGCTTCGTGGCCCTCCCCCCCCTCCTCCCTGCGTTTCACCCACCCAGTACAACGTTTCGTGGTCCCATAGGGAGCCCCACCGAAGGTCCCAATGCTACTGTCCGCATGCGTCCCGCACACCCAGTACAGCGCTTCGTGGCCCCATAGGGAGCCCCACCGGAGGTCCCAGCGCTACCGTCCGCATGCGTCCCGCACACCCAGTACAACGTTTCGTGGCACCATAGGGAGCTCCACCGAAGGTCCCAGTGCTACCGTCCGCATGCGTCCCGCAAACCCAGTACAGCGTTTCGTGGCCCCCCTCCCCCTCCTCCCTGCGTTTCACCCACCCAGTACAGAGCTTCGTGGCCCCATAGGGAGCCCCACCGAAGGTCCCAGCGCTACCGTCCGCATGCGTCCCGCCCACCCAGTACAGCGTTTCGTGGCCCTCCTCCCCCTCCTCCAAGCGTTCCACCCACCCAGTACACCGTTTCGTGGCCCCATAAGGGAGCTCCACCGAAGGCCCCAGTGCCCCCGTCCGCATGCGTTCCGGAAGCCCAATGTGGCATTTTCACCCACCCAGTGCAGCGTTTCGTGGCCCCATAGCGGGCTCCACACAAGGCCCCAGTGCCATCGTCCGCTTGCGTCTGGGAAATGTAATTCGGCATTTTCGCCCGCGCAGTGCAGCTTTTCGAGGCCCCATACGGGGTCTCCACCGAAGCCCCCTGTGGGACCGTCCGCACGCGTCCCGGTAACTCAATTTTGCATTTTCGCTCACTCAGTAGAGCGCTTCGTGGCCCCATAAGGAGCTCCACCGAAGCCCTCAGTGGGACCGTCCGCATGCGTCCCGGAAACCCACTTCGGTACGCCACCCAAACAGTACAGCGTTCCTCCCTGCCCAGTGCAGCGCTTCGTGGCCCCATAGGGAGATTCACCGAAGCAGATATTCACAATTACGGTACCCACAACTGCATATGGTTGGGCAGAGACTTCTGCCGGCGTCTTTCCGGGGGGTGAACCAACGAAAAGAAAACCCTGGGCCAGACGGAGCCCTGCAGGAAAATCCCACCAGCCCTTTGGGCGTGAGTGGTTGAGAGAGCTCTCTCTGTTCTCAACCCCCTAACCCCCTACTTCCCCTTCGGGGAGGGGTTTACCCCTCCCCCTCCCCCCTCCCCCTGGGCCTGGAGAGGGCGGGCCGAGTGCAATCAAGGGGGTCTTTTTCGACTCCTGGGAGGGCCAAAAAACGACGACCCTCACGAGGATTCTGGCCCCCAGGGGGGGGGGACCGTTTGGCGCCTCAGACCGTCTTGGAAGCAAAAAGCATTGATTTTACTAAGGGTGTTGGCCCCATTTTGACCTCCTGAGGGGGCCGCGCTCCTCTTCCTTCATAGCAAAATCATTGATTTTACGAAGGTTTTGGCCTCATTTTGGTTTTCTCAGGGGGCAGCGGTCATTTACGCTTCTGAGGAGGTCGCAAGAGGCCCCAAGCTGGCCCCAAGAGGCCCCCAGGAGGCTCCCAAGAGGCCTCCAAGGGGCCCCAAAGAGGCCCCCAGGCTCCCAAGAGGCCCCCAAGAGGCCCCCAAGAGGCCCCCAAGAGGCCCCAAGACGCCCCAAGAGGCCCCCAAGAGGCCCCCAAGAGGCCCCCAAGAGGCCCCGAAGAGGCCCCAAGAGCCTCCAAGAGGCCCCCAAGAGGCCCCACGAGGAGCCCGAACGACTCACACCAGGACGAGGGGCCCGAACGACTCGCACCACGAAGAGCCCGAACGACTCACACCATAAGGAGGGGCCCGAACGACTCACACCAGGACGAGGCGCCCGAACGACTCACACCACGAGGAGCCCGAACGACTCACACCACGACGAAGAGCCCCGAACGACTCACACCACGAGGAGCCCGAACGAGTCACACCAGGAAGAAGGGCCCGAACGACTCACACCAGGACGAGAATCCCCAAACGACTCAAACCACGAGGAGCGCTTTCTCTCCCTCCTCCTCCGCCTCGTCCTTCTCCCGCTCCCCCCACAAGGAGGATGTACAAGGAGGCGGGGGGAAGGAGGAACAGGGGAGATATGCGGGGCCAAGCGGACACACGCCTGAAAAACACGACTGTCGGCATGCTTCGCGAGAGTTGCTGCTGTGAGATGGGCTGGTAGGGACACGCGAAGCGTAAAGAATTACCCTGGCGACGTACCCAACCCCTGCGAAATGCGGGGCATGAGTAGCTTGGGAGATGTTATACGGAGGTGAGTGATGACGCGACATGGGCGCATATACTTCTGCGAGCGGCATTCGTGAGGCTCGCAGCCCCCCAAGGACGGCGAGGTCCCGCTCAGATCTGCCTGGTG